CCCACAGAGGGACCTGAGTGGGAACAGATATGCAAACGTTGTGATGCAAGAGTCTGTGAAAATGGTCTGAACTCCCAGTTGCCTCTAAAGCAATGCACATAGTAAATTGTTCTATAAGAAATCCAAAGACTGAAATATATTTGCACAAAAATTGCACTCTTTCACACAGTTAACGGATTTATGAAATTAAGACCATGTTCAGATTATCGGCAATCAGCAGAAAGACCCTGCAGCGGAATAACCAGTGTTACCTGTGAATAGCCTGCCCTAAGACAGCTTCCTTTCATACCGCAGCTTTTCAGGTTTTCAAAGGTACCTTTCTCCTGAGCAGCATCACCTATCAGTTCTGTGGTAACACAGAGAGCCTGTGTGAGTCACTCTTTGAATAAACAGGGGAAAGCTTTCAATTTAGTGTGTAGTGTTCAAGGGGAACACCTTTCCAGTGTTTCCGCATGAAGAATTTTACATTTGAATTTTTTAACCTGAAGACAGTAAATTCTCATCAGTTTTACTCTGCAACATTGTTCAATTGTCAATAATTGTTCTTTTCATAGTGATAAAGTAGATTTACTTGATCACTAGCAACTAAACCAATAAGTTAGCCTGCAACGCAAGATGGATTGAAGGAGTTTTTATTAACGCTTAATTGATTTTTGCTCTAGATGCTCATGCAAAGTAAACAGAGTCATTAAATAAAGATTTGTTTAAAATGCAATCAGTGGGCAATCTGCTTGCTACTATCCTTTCTTCAGACAGGAAAGGCTTCAGGGGAGAACTTACTGTGATACTAATAGCACTGAGGAGACGACCTAAAAAAAAAAACCACCCAGCTGTTGTAGACAATGTGGTTTAAATAGGAATTACCTTGGAGATGCAATGCTAATTTCCTACCATATTTAATTCTGTTTTCCACTTAAGTCCCATCCATTTTCAGAATGAAGAATTTGTTGTGTCAACGTTCGTACTCTATTTTTTTTTTTCTTTCTGTGCCTCTTGCCCTCTGATTTAGAATTTAACAGCTGCCTATTTTGAATGCTACAGCTGAAATTTTAAGCTTTATTTCTGCTGTGGTAACTGATCCCTCTTGCCTTTACCTCTCTATTTCTAGCTGCATGATTTTATTAACCAACAAGCTGTTACTTCGTTTAACAGCAGAACATAATGCCTCCCTTTGATAAACACAAGGCAAAAAACCAACCCTTGCAAAAGCTAGGAGTTGCAAACATCTGAGCTCTTCTTCGTAAAGTTTTCAGAAATAGAGCCATAAATATACAAGGATATTTATCGTACTAGATTCTCTGTTATTGCTAACATAATTAAATAAAGTAAGTCTACCCAGATTTATATCAGCATAATAAAAAGCAACATTTCATGCCCATAGTCGCCTGCAGGCTAGGAAACAAAAGGGTTCTTTAAATCCAGAAGATAATACTTGCATAAGGAGTGCAGTATTCACTTTAATTCTAATTTGGGGTCTAAGTTTACTGGCCTGGGTAGTAGAGAATGACTGAGGGAGTGGCTTTCAATGAGCCAATTTATATACTAAGGTATATAAATTGCTGGGCCAGTTAACAACATGTGGAAAGAATATGATTTTTTATTCACTTTGATTTACTGTCTGAAGCTATACCTATTTTCCTCTCCCCAAATTGGGAGGGAATAGAAATACCACATCTAGTTCTTGCACTACTAAGTATGAATGTGCTGCACGGGATGAATGAGATGAGGCACCTTATGTAATTTAATTCCTGGGCTCCTTTTTTTTTTTTTTAAGGCTTTTCTTGAGGGCAGAATTATGAGGGAATGATTTGTATTCCCAGTCCAAAGCTTCTTACACAAAGAAATAAAATATATTGCCGAATGCTTGGTTGATTAAAACTAGTAGTGAAATGAACCAAAGGAAAGTTTACCGAACCGTATAGATATATTAAGGCTTATGAAGAAACCTGACAGGAGGAAGACTGCACTATGTGTTCAGAATGAAAACAAAACCAGGGATGCATCAGCTGTCTGCACGAGATGATGGATAGAAGATGCTCCTTGCAGCTCACAACCTTTTATCTCAACTATACCATGTTGTTTCTCCTTTCGGAGTGCAATAAAAAACAAACTGTTTCTGTAGGTCTTGCAGGATTTTATACAGCATATGAACTGATGTACTGAAGCTGAAGGTCCATCTGTTCTAATGCCTTGTCTCCTACTGGTCTTGGCTTTTCATGCCTAAATTCTGCTACCAAAATAGAGAAGTTTGATAGCTTTCCCTTTCTGGGGAAAAAGTGACTTCTGTGCATCAGGTTAAGACTCGAATAGCAGAGGCCATGGAGTATATGGTGGAGGGTGCTAGGAGAGGTGTAGAGGTGAGGCAAATCTGGCAGGAGTGAGACGGTGCTTCTCATAGAGTTCCTGATTTGGGATGAAGACTTTTTTTTGGTGTGCAATAGGGTTAAGACTCAAATTACAGCTGCAAGAGCATCACCTCCCACACTTAAAAATGAGCTGGGATTACGCACCTTGTGAGAACACTGGCATTGAACTCCACTCACTTAGGGCCGAAGATTTCGGAAGTAGAAGAAAAAGCAATTAGATGCTTGGGGAGATTTTCTAAGGCTTTAGTGAAGTGAAACGTAGGTGTACTGCAGTCACCATCAACAGCTTCCTTACGCTTCTTCTAAGATGTGGTGCTCCAGCGTTTTGGGCAAGCGGTGGGTGTGGGGAGTCACAGGGGGACCAAGTCGCCTGGTCTCCCTTTTACTCTTGCCCCTCTCTTGGTCTGCGTCGAAGGAACAAGTGCTCCCAGTTTATCACGCCTCCCACTTCGCTCCCACGGAGGACGCGAGGGGGTGGGCGCAGGAGGCCGGGCGGGGGGCGCAGCCCCTCCGCGCAAACCCCAGCACGGGGTGGGCCGGGAGAAGGCGGGTGACCCTGGCCGGAGCCTCCCTCCGCTCCTCCTTCCCTCCATCCCTCCATCCCTCCCTCCCGCGGCGCATCCTCTCTCCACCCCTCGCCCTTGCCTCTCCCTCACACTCGCCGCCTGCGGGGCTGCCGTCGGGGG